TACAGATCGAATAAGCTAATAGGAAACGAAATGACGTAAACGGCGAATAAAATTAACAAAGTTTAATCAATAAAAACTACAGTCTTTTATGGGCCGAAAGACTAACGCATGCGATAGGATTCACAATTATAAATTATAATTCGGAGAGAGAGAGAGAGAGAGAGAGAGAGAGAGAGAGAGAGAGAGAGAGAATTCGAAAATTTCCCCGAAATCTAACGCTCGGCGCGAATACAAAAAAATTACGCTCGCGATAGACAAAAATAAATAGGAAAATGTAGAGGGTACTTCTTGGATTAACTGCGCTGCCTCTCACAAATGGGCAATTCTTGGCTATTTCAAACAGTTGAAAACTTCAAATCACCAATTTTGTTCAAAGTTGGTAGACTTGTTACCTATACAGAGGTCAACATCTGTGCAGAGTTTTAGATCAAAATATTGATAAGGGGCCGACTTATCAACTGTTGAAAAAATATTGGACTTTTTTTTATTAATTCGATTTCTCGGAGACTAATAAAGATATGGACATGATTCTTTTTTTAAAAGACGCGAAAAGAGTTTCACTTTTAAAATGTAAATAATAAAATACCAAATCATTTATTTATTCCACTGTTATAAACAATTTTTTCAAAAAATCGACGATATCTCAAAAAACGATATTTTTTTTTTAATTTTTGTACCATCGTGTTCCTTGTCATTTTTTACACAAGAAACCGTTGAGAAAATCGAGTGCCCGCTATTAGGATTAAGATAGCACTAAAATGAAACGAACCACGCGCTAGCCGCTCGGCCGCTCGGCCGTCTGCTACTCGTGCGGTTCCAACGTTGCTTGCTGCAATTGCCTTCTTTAAAGAATAAATAATTTCATATTCTAACAGTCTATATGTATTTATTTAAATAATATATAGATGTATTAATTAAGTAAGTAATGTAAATGAACTATTTTTTTATACAATCTGATATAATATTGAAATTAAACATTCGCTCTCTGCGTTTGAGCGGGCTTGAGACCGACGCATATTTAGGATGCGGCCGAATTAAAAATGTTTTTTTATGGGACCTACACCATAATACTCTTAATAAGTTATTTACAAGTAATTTTACAAAAAAAAACCCTTTAAATTATGCGTCTTATTTTAAATTCAGAAGAGTATGAAGATTTTTTTACTTTAATTTCCGTTGTATTGTCATCACTAACTGGAATGAATGCATGCAGTGATTGTGTTCCTTGTATAGTAAGAGCATCTTTTAATTGACTATACATGCTACTTTCAAAAATTTCATATTCTTTTTGACTACAGTAAATAAACGTTATTTTAGGCATAACTTGCTTCGCCCATTTGTAAAATTCTGCAGAATTACTTATGATTTTACCGAGCAAGCTTTCTCGTCGAGCTAATCTTTTTATACCTCCACCAATTCCATTACATGGACTTTTAACACGATAACTTGCAAAAAAATGCCACTCTGCTCTACATAGAATAAATGCCGTAATATCGAACTAAGTTTAGAAAATTCATTCTATTTTTATATTGGCTTCCGGCACCATCACTAACATAAATAATTTTTTTTACAGTATTTTGAAATGTATTTTTGACGAATTCAATTAAATTTTTTTGATATTTAGCATAAATTCTTTTTCGTAAGAAATTCAAAGACTTTTAAAGACTTTTAGAAGCTATTACAAATTGGTGTTTATATTTTCTACCATATATATTTTCATATACGAGGTGTGATCAAAAAGTAAGGTGAATTTTGAAATTTAGCGGGCTACGTCCGTTCGATCTTCGACTTTTTTATTTGGTTATGTCGGTACACTCGTCTAGAACATACGTTCCAAATTTCAGCTTTGTAGTATGTTTGGTTTGTTTGTGAGAGGCATCAAGGTTAGAAGTGTTTTGCGTGCTCCACGATTTGCTGCTGTCTAAAAACATGGATCAAAGAGTTTGCATTAAATTTTGTGTGAAAAATAGAATCAAATGTTCCAAAACACTTGAATTGCTGAAAGTGGCATACGGTGAGTCTACTTTAAGCCAAAAAAATGTTTACAAGTGGTATAAACTCTTCCAAGAAGGCCGAGAAGACACCGACGACGAACCTCGTTCTGGACGCCCCAGCACATCAACAACTGATGAGAATGTTGAAGAAGTGAAGAAAATAGTGTTGGGAAATCGTCGAATTACCATTAGAGAAATTGCTGATGATATTGGCATCTCATTTGGTTCGTGCCAATCAATTTTGACGAGTGTTTTAGACATGAGACGTGTGTCAGCGAAGTTTGTTCCGAAATTGCTCAATTTCGATCAAAAGAAACGTCGCATGAGCATCGCCCAAGAGCTACTGAATGACGTCAACGAAGATCCAGATTTACTCAACAGAGTTATAACAGGTGACGAAACAAGGGTATACGGTTATGACGTCGAGACTAAGACTCAATCGTTCCAGTGGAGGCATTCTGGATCACCAAGACCAAAAAAAGCACGCCAAGTTCGATCAAATGTAAAGGTTTTGCTTACAGTTTTCTTTGACTGCAGGGGCGTGGTGCATCATGAGTTCTTGCCACAGGGTAGAACAGTAAATAAGGAATATTACCTGCAAGTTATGCGCAATTTGCGCGAAGCAATCCGCCAGAAACGTCCGAATTTGTGGAAAAATAAAAATTGGCTTTTGCACCATGATAACGCCCCTGCTCACACATCGTTGCTTGTGCGCGAATTTTTGGCTAAAACCAACACAGTAACGATGCCACAGGCACCGTATTCCCCAGATCTGGCCCCCTGTGACTTCTTCTTGTTCCCAAAACTGAAGAGGCCCATGAAAGGACGGCGTTTTGCCACGATTGAGGAGATAAAGACGGCATCGAAGGATGAACTAAACAAGATCACAAAATATGATTTTTTGAAATGCTTTGAGGATTGAAAAAAGCGTTGGCACAAGTGCATTATATCCGAGGGGGATTACTTTGAAGGAGATAAAATAAAAATTGATGAATAAATAAATATTTTTTGAGAAAAATAAAAATTCATCTTAGTTTTTGATCACACCTCGTACGTCATTCTCACGCCCGATCAAACGCACAGAGCAAATGTTTCATTCAATGTTGTTTCAGATTTATATTACTTATATTACTTTACTTATATTACTTTATATTACGTTATATTAAGTAAATAAGTCATCAAAATTTAATTTAAATTTAATTACTTATTTAATTAATTAATTTATATATTATTTAAATAAATACATATAAACTGTTAGAATATGAAATTATTTATTCTTTAAAGAAGGCAATTGCAGCAAGCAACGTTGGAACCGCATGAGTAGCAGACGGCCGAGCGGCTAGCGCGCGGTTCGTTTCATTTTAGTGCTATCTTAATCCTAATAGCGGGCACTCGATTTTCTCAACGGTTTCTTGTGGAAAAAATGACAAGGAACACGATGGTACAAAAATTAAAAAAAAAAATATCGTTTTTTGAGATAACGTCGATTTTTTGAAAAAATTGTTTATAACAATGGCATAAATAAATGATTTGGTATTTTATTATTTACATTTTAAAAGTGAAACTCTTTCCGCGTCTTTTAAAAAAAGAATCATGTCCATATCTTTATTAGTGTCCGAGAAATCGAATTAATAAAAAAAAGTCCAATATTTTTTCAACAGTTGATAAGTCGGCCCCTTATCAATATTTTGATCTAAAACTCTGCACAGATGTTAACCTCTGTATAGATAACAAGTCTACCAACTTTGAACAAAATTGATGATTTGAAGTTTTAAACTGTTTGAAATAGCCAAGAATTACCCAAATATCTTCTACTTTTGTTGCTACTGCTTTAGATGCTGCTGCTGTGATGCTGCTGTCGAGATGCTGCTTGTTATCACTCGCGCACGCCAAAATTCCAGGAAACTTTCGATTTGCAAAATAACGGTGAAACACAGTGCAAAAAACTAAATTGGCGGTACTATCGCAAAAGCAGCTGAGGCTATACTGATTATTTAAACTCTCGCGCGCCCCCTATCTCTTAGTCGTTAGAACTAATATCGTGAGTGTACCGAATCGCGAACTGATCAATTAATCGAATCGACTACCGTTGCAAAATGTAATTGCAAAATATAATTGCAAAATGTAAAATGTAATATTGCGACTACCGTTGCAATATTTCTACGGTTGTAACGTCTCATGTAACATGTAATGTTCCATAATACACATCTAACTTCTAAAAATCTTCAAGAATAAATATTATAGGTATCGAAATTGGAAATATATTTTATAAGCTAAAAACTTATAAATAAATAAAAACTTTGAGGATATTCGCGTAGATATAATTTAATCGTTTATTTGTAATTTAATTATGGGGGTTTGTGAGCGGAGCAAGTAGTGCATACAAAAAGAAGCCTTTTGACTAGTTCAGATTTTTTTAAAATGTACACATACACATCGCTATTTTAAGCTATGGAAATGTTTATGAGACTAATGTTACAGTTATAGTAAATTGATACGAGAAGGCGCGAGGAGGAGTAAGGAGGTAAAAATCCTAAGGAGACGTGAGGAGGCGTCTACCTACATAAAAAATAACGTTAAATTTAACAGAATTCGCATGTTATTTGAGGAGAAGCTAGTTCTTGAAATAAGAACTCGTGAGGAGGCGTAAGAAGGTTTGATGAATGAAAATTTAGGCCTTATATTTATATACGAGTATATATGCGAAAATTTTATAAATGTAGACGATATATCTTAGTGAATTATATGTCATATTCAGCCCAGTTATGTAATAAAATAAATTTGGATTAAAAAGACATAATCCAAAATATATTCACGGAAAATCCTTGATTGCAAAAAAATATCTTTTTTTTAAAACCATCTTGGTATGCAATCGATGTGTCAATGATTCTTCTGACATTAACGGTCGGATAACGCAATTAATATTTACAACGATTCAATGAACAATAAAATAATGAAAAATATTATTTGTTATCAAAGAACTATGTAATTTGTTTTGTATTTTAGGCAATACTCCTCTGATGTACGGATGTGCTGGTGGTCATGAAGAAGTTGTCAAAGTACTCCTAGAAGCAGGAGCTAATGTGGAAGATCATAATGAAAACGGTCACACGCCTTTGATGGAAGCTGCCAGTGCTGGTCACGTATCGGTTGCAAAAGTTTTATTAGAACATGGTGCAGGCATTAATACTCATTCAAACGAATTTAAAGAATCTGCTTTGACGTTAGCGTGTTACAAAGGACATTTGGATATGGTTAGATTTTTGTTGAGCGCTGGTGCAGATCAGGTAATTAAACCACATTACTTGAGTTTTCAAGGTTCTATAATTTTTTCTTTTCAAAAATCTTAATTTAAAAAAAAACAATGAATACCCTTAAATGCATAAAGCGATCAATGATAAATTTTTATGACAGATGTATTAAACAATTAAATAGTCATTTGACGTAACGGGGTGGATTAGCTGGTACAAATTGGGTTTATTAAAGAACAAACTCCCATGATGTAGAGCTAACCGCCGCTCCGTTAAACACGTATGAGTATACGTGTATTCGCCTTTACGTTTGATACTTTCGTTCCAATCTCTCCTTTTCCAATAGAGTTAAACTCACCTTAAGTCACCTGACTTGTGACACTCGATTTATCTTTGGTGTGAGTGACCTAATGTTTACTCCAACTATCCCTTAAATGAAATCGGTTCAAAAAAATAACCGGTGACGGGTCCGTTAAACTAAAAGAAAACGAAATAACGTAATGCGGTGAATATAATCAAGATTGTTTATAACTAAAAAACTACAGTCTTCGTTGGGCCGAAAGACTTGTACTCGCGAATAGGATTTACAAACTTTCAATAATACAGGGAGAGAGGGAGAGAGGGAGAGAGAATGAATTGAAAATTCTACCGCGAAAAACTAACTTTCGGCGCGGACACACACAAACGATCGCGATTGACAAAATACTATCGTAAGTATTTTATCGCGCAGAAAAAGGGAGGTGCTCTTACCCTGCGGTGCAATTACGGTGATCAGCCGTAATTGTTATTCTGCAAAACTACAGATGCTCCTGTGGAACCAGCTGCGCTGCTACAATCACGAAGATCGGTTGTAGCTTTGATAAATGCTGCTCTTTCGCTTGCTGCTACTGGGATTACTGCTGCTTTATTTCTAGCATCCTAACTATCACTCGTCCAGAAAACTTTTAATTATCAAACGGCAAAACACAGTGGAAAACTTTTGGCGGTTCCATGGATAACAGCTGAGGTTTAACTGAAAAATTGAACTCTTGCCCCCCCCCCCTCTCACTCTTTTAGACGTTCGCTGTAACATCGCGAATGCTACCGAATCGCTAACGTATCGATAGATCGAATCGACTACCGTTGCAATGTATGATAGATATGTATTTTTTTTCATTCGCAAAAGATCTTTATACACGGAAAAAAATCCAAGACCCGCCTGCTCACGGAAAATCCGAAACTGATATGATTGTGCGATTCTGAATCTCATCGATGACGAACTGAAACGGTCACGGCGTGGTACGGTCGAGAGCGATGGAGTTATAGGTATGCGACGCAGATAGTTGTGACAAGCAATAGTTACAGTTGCGGAGCGTCATAGCGCTTGCCGCTTCACAGTCAAGACGCGCATGGTGGATTGGTATTGGATTGGTTTCGGGACGTCTAAATCACTGCCGTTCCGAAACCGACATGTGCGCGCTTTTGAGTCGCAACAACAGCGCGTAAAGAAGTTAGTAATCGATGTCATTCCGGCACGAGAGACCGTACTGTTTGCGTTCGGAACTCTGTTGCTTTCAGGACGTCCAAACTATTGCCATCCCGCAACCAAAATGCATACAGTTTCTGACTGAGATCATAGCTCATATTTTCATTCATAAGCAGGGCCGGTACAAATACAATGGGCGTGACTCTCAATTCATAACCCGACTATTTGAATCCTTTTACGGCTGCAATAAAAAATGTTCCACTCGGAATGACTCTTTTTTACGATACTTGCAATTATTTCACTAACAAGTCTACATTTTTTTATAAATAAATAATTCATAACATACTCATATTATTAAAGTTCATATTTTTTTGCGTATTTCAAAAAAATTGTGTCGATTCTATCAACAGTTTTCACGTTTTTTTGAATTGTTTATAACTTTTTAATCATTTATCATTTTATTTTCAAAATTAGTATAAAATACCTTGGTATGAAATATAAAATTAATATGCTAAATATAAAAATCAAACCAAGATCTTATTCTAAAATAGCCTATTTATTGTCTTGTCAACCAAATTTGTTTTCTTTTATTTTTATGAAAATGAAGCTTATTAAAAAAAAATTTGAAAAAAAATTTTTGTTCATACTGCCTGAAAAAAAAAATTGAAAAATATACTTTTTTAAAAAACTTCAGATTTTAACGACCGTCGTTGCTTAAACATGGTGTTAAAGATAAGTAAGTGCTTTTTATGGCACACATCCATTATACTTAAAAAAATATATATTTATATATATTGTAACGAGCGAACTCGTTAAAGGGGTAGATGAGCGAGATATAAAATGGCGCGCCATGCGCAATGGGCCCGCGCAGCGAGAAAGAGAGAGAGATAGTCGCGACACGCCGAGGGACAGTACACGTGAGACCGGCAAGTAGAGAGTACGCGGATAGCGATCTTTTGTTCCTACTTGAGCTTCTTCTGTTGATTCTTTCCGTTGGTGCGAGAGATAATTAAGTGAGGTGAATCGGTTCTCGAGAAAGAGAGTGTCGAAATTGAGGCTGGTGGCCCGTGCAGCAGAAGTGTGTGACGGCGACAGAATCGAAAAACACCATCCGAGCGGGGAAATCCGACTCGTCGCGAATCGTCGCCCACGACAAGGAAGAGCACAACCATAATCCACCTGGCTTCAGCGATTTTGGGTGACGACCTTCGCGGGGCTGAATTAGAATAACTAGGCGAAGCTGTCTGCAGCAGCATTCGCTCGCGTAAGTCCTCCCCAATATTGTAATACCAGCGTGCGGAAAATTGCGCGGCCTGTGCGCCGATCGAAACCGTATCTCCCGTCTCTCTCTCACGCGTATGTCTAAGCGGACCGTGCGGCTCGAATCTCTCGGTCGATGCGGAATGTGCGCGAGTGTATGACGAACAACGAATAAAGTCCACCCTGATTATTTTGAATAAGGCGGCGAATTTATTCGGCGACACCTAATATTCTCTGCGTCCTCTCCTCCTTCGCAACGTTCTCGGAGAACCTGCAACCGTCGCTCCTTTGCGTTCTCCCGTGCTTTCGCGCCCATTTTCAGATCGCGCTTTCAGCACGGGGCTAGCCGGAAGAGAGAAACAACGGCGGCATAAATAGTTTGTTAACGGACAGCAATTTACAATAACGAAGAAATAGCTACCGTTACAGTGGCGCCCAACTAAACGAAAACAAAGCAGAAGGAAAAGGACGAACCCGGACAAGAGAATTAATAAGGCGCGCGCGACAAAAATTCCGAGAGAGAGAGACTCGCGCTAAACTAAATAAACAGTGTGTGTGTGTGTAAAAAGAAACACCACGAGGTTTCAGAGCAATAAAATTTGTCGAACGTACTCTGGCCACGAAGTAAATACAGTGTATATACAAACGATTGTAAGACCGAGAGTATTTACTAACCTAGACAAAATTTCGAGGCCAGAGAACCATACAGTGAACGCGAAAAATTGTTCGCTTCATTAAAATTTCCCCTTCATAAATATTAAAAATTTCACTTAAAATTATAAATGCTCACTATACGACGACAAAATTTATATAATTAATTAAGCCAACAAAAACTAACAAATTTTCACCTACAAACAGTATGTGAAAATTAATAGGTAGGATCATTGTAAAATTAGCGTAGAAAAGGCGAGCTAAGAAACCTCATGGTGAATACCACCGTAATAATGAAAGTTGAATTAACCTAAAATATTAAAATTTTCTTTACTTCAAATAAAAGTTTTTTTTGTTATTTCGGCAAATAATACCGAAAATCAAAAACACACACACACACAACAAGCATCACAAGATCAAACTCAGCGCACACCCACGCATAATAATAGATAGAAGAATGGCAAACATGAAGGACATGGACGACACAGAAACAGAAATAGAGGAGTGGATAAATAACCTAGATGATGATCGACTACATCAGACTCTGGCAACCTTAGAATTAAGAAGCGACGGCGAAAAGACAACCAGGGCACAGAGACTCCAGCGTTGGTTGATGGGCGACTACACATCGGCTGACTTTGACGAAACTACAGCACAAGAAATCGCCCAAGACCCAATTCGAAGAAATGAATTGAGATACGCCTACATCTCCAAGGAGTGCAAAACACTGGAAGACACAGGAGCAACCGATCGCGAAAACCACCCTCTATATAGACTACTCACTGATGACGAAATCGCAATCAAGCTAAACCTATCGGTGAGCCAATCCCTATCTAAAAGAGCGGAAAGAATCTCAAGAAGCGACGAGTACGCAGACGAGCAAGCTTCAACAACGTCGGATAACGAGATGCCCATCATATATAACGAAAAGGGCAAGCCCGTTACAATCCCCGCGGAAATCAAGGAAGTCATGCACGAATGGATAAATCGACTTAGAAAAGTCGAAAAGGCCATGGAAAGAGAACGCCAGTATGTGTTGTCAATAGCGCAAATGGCACAAACTATATGCGCTACCCAGGCCACGGAAACATCAAGGATGACTAGGGCTCTGCAAAGGATAGGCAATATCGAAAACGAAATATACCTACTCCAGGAAAACCAACCATCGTCACCAACCCTAGAAACAGAACAGCTGCCCAGCAAAACAGTAAACTTCCAGGACACGGTGACACTACACTATGACACCATAATACCAGGAAGCACCCCACAAAGACCACCACCAACGGAACAACCACGATGGAACCCCCCAATACAGCCCTCGGGGGGGAGTGGACAGCAGAATTCAGTAAATAATTCTGCTAAAGGTGGCACCACAAGACACACAGGCAGCTATGGGCAAAACACGACGACGGGCCTGTCAACTACACGAGACGTGGGAAGGATCGTGAGGGGCTGGCGAGTCAAGTTCTCCGGAGGAGACGACCAGAGCGTTGACGTCTTCCTGGAAAAACTCGAAGCCCAAAGATTGGCGGCTGGTCTCTCTGAGGAAGAGATGCTCCTCGGGCTACCCGATGTACTTACCGGGGTAGCCCACACTTGGTACCTGAATAATAATAAGGATTGGATAGACTACCAGGACTTTATTTCGGACGCGAGAGAA